AACTTTAACTTAACGAGCAAAAAAAAGTTGCAACATTTTGAAATTATCTCATATTGAAATAAAAAAAAATATCTAATTCATCTTGTCAATCATTTTTGAAATTGCTCAGAAATAGATTAAATAAACTACATGTTTGAGATACATTCCAGATACAATCAATATATATATATGAAAAGATGAATGTTAAGTTTCGATGACTAGTCGTTAATTATTGTCATGTTCTTCCATCTGTTTATTATCAGTTTTGTGAATATTGAATTTATAGATATCGTTGATATTAGAAATAATAGCAAGTCTATTTTTAGTATTTTAATTAGGCTATTCAATCCATTTATGATATCTGTTTCTATTTATGTACAAGAAAGGCGTAGATAGTATTTTATATAAATCTGAGAAAGAATATACTCTGTGGTTATAAGAAAAATGATCATTCTCATAGAGATTTACAAGTTATTTTAATCGTTGCTCTCAAATATACAAGTTAATGCGGGGGTTGAAGGGTATACTCTTATAACGAAAGGAGACATATGAGTAATACTTTGTTCTATTATTAATTTCTTTTTGTATTAATGATGTCAAAGTCCCATGATATGTAAACATAATGCACTATGATTAAGACAAATTAACAGAAATATTTCGTTTACTTTTTATAAAGAATAGTTGTCAATACACAATTGACTTGACCTTATTATTTCTCTTATCTTATAACTTGATAAATTGAATAATTGATATTTTGTTTACGTTAAAGAATATCTGTGATACTAAATAAAGAGATTAGAGTTTCATTTTTCTTTAATCTCAGATCAAATCTCATTTCTTTCTTAGATATATATATATATAGAGCAAAAGACCATCGTAACACTAATTTTATCTTCTAATATATCCAATACTTCACTTACAATGACACAGGTAAGATAAATCTATACATATAAAGATAATCAATTATTTTCTTTTATAATTATTATAGCCTAGTATATCCATGTTTGCTTTATATCTACGAATGTTAATTGTATTCTTTGTATTAATCATTTGTATTAATAATAATTATGTATTGGCAAATGATCAAATAACTTTGATTAATGATAACAATGATGATCAATTAACGGATGTAGAAGATTCCATGTCTGAAAATATTGAATTAGTTCGACGTGGCGTTTGGTCTCGTTTATTTCGTACCGAAGTTAATCCAGCACGCCTTGATAGTCGTTCCAGTTATTCTCCAACATCACTTAATTATGCTTCTTCATCAGGTCCAATTCATATTATACCATTTGATAAACGTACAATTCCGATTGAGCTTCAAAAAGCACTTTACGCTCATGGAATTGTAGGTCGGCGTCGTTGAAAAAAATTTGATAATGTATATTGTCAAAAAAAAATTTTTTTCTTCTTGCAGTCACGAAACAATAATAAAATAAAGTTTTTAATGCAGGAATTTTCATTCTTGTTATCTTAATAAGCTGACAAAAATACTCATAAGAGCGAAATATATTTTTTAAAATATCAACTACTATATGGGTAGTTTCATGCGAATTCAACCACATCGTATAAAAATGGTTTCAGATTTTGATGAAACTTTTAGGGTAGATAGAGCTTTTAAAACCTAACAATTTTCTAAAAAACTCTATTTTTCACAAAAATATACTCGAAATGCTTTTTGGGAGAAGACACATCGAACCATACTAACTCTTATATGAGTTTCGAATAAATTTGTATCATATAATTATAAACTACTTTCTTCACCGCCACTATCTTACAAACGTGATATTTTCAAAAAGCCGGATTGCTTGGTTGAATGTCTTAGTGTTTTTGATAGAACCACGTGATGAACAAATTGAATTCAAAAATGTCATATGATATATATATTGTGTAAGAAGACGACAGAACGTAAGATATTTCATTTGCGTTCTCTATGTCATCTATGAGATGATATCCAAGACCGAAATGGTTAATCACTCCGTATTTTTTCACGATTTTCGTACGTGGCCTTTTTCTCATAAAAGATCGGTTACGACTGTGCATGTTTGACCTTCGGTATATACTATTAAATAAGTTCTTTCTTGAAACAAAGAATAATCATTATTACAAAGTTATCTCATCCTCAAAATGATTTTTTTCTACTGGATTTACTTAATGTTATGTGCTTTGAGAGAAGCAACAGATTGTGAGTAAATCTCTTCTTTTTTAAAACAGGCGCTTCTACCTTCTAACACATAAATAAAAAAAATAGCAACTATATTTCCATAACATAAAAAGTAAAAAACAACTATTAAATAATAATTCTTAATATACAAAACCATGAAAGATAAAAACATTTCTGTTATGTTCAAATATTGTTATTTTATAATATTTGAAAATTAGTATTCAATTTTACGAATGGAATTTGGCTGAGAAAAATATGAGTTTGTCATATTCAGATTATCAATAATAATGCTTCATCATCTGCACAAACACACCTTCCAGTATATATTGTTGTTCGTGATCAACAGACTTTTCAGATTAGTTCTTCAGACACATATTATTCTGTTATCTGACATCACATCTTCTTTTGCTATTAGTAGAGATGTTGATCGATCAACTACGACATCGTCACATACTTCTCATTTTGTCATACGCAAAACATTATTCAGCAAAAAAATGAGAAAAATTTGTTTTGAACAAATTTTAATCTGACAAAAAAGAACACATATTTATATCATTTATTTTTTTAACTAATTTATTCTAATATGTATCTAACGGACAGATGGCTTTTAGGGGAAACAAACTGGTGCAACTCATTGTCAGAATTTTTTTTCATTTCCTTGTATAGTATTTATCATATGCCTTTATAATATTTTGAATCTCACATAAAGAGAAACTGAGTGATTAGTTACTCAGTTTATAAAATGGCAGAAACCATCTCTCATGATCGAATGAATAGATTCAAGCAGTTACGTGATTATATGAGAAAAATTAATCTTTTCGACGATGCAGAAATCACATCTGTTATCGATCAGTTACTTGCAACAAGAATTGTTATTTTTCTAATGACTACAGCTCTCATTAGTATGATTACTTGGGCTAGTTTAGCTATTCAGACACATTCTGTCACTATTCAGTCACCATCTGAAACTATTTTCAAACAACTATCTGTTAATTATTCAAGTACACTTTCATGTCGATGTACACAAACATCGATTCATCATCGTCAATTTCTTTCGTTTCATCCACAATATCATCCAATATGTACAAGTCAATTTATTAATCATTCATTTATTTCAGCTTTATCTAACATGAACATCAATGAATATTATATGCAGGATTATCGCATTACAGTGTCATCTCATTTCCAGCTACTTGCACTACTTTGTGAAACAATAAAACAAATGATAGATGATTCATTATTTATTTTTAATTCTAAATACTTTACTACCACTCAAGTTTTGTCTATTGAAAAGTTTGAGGCACAGATTGATCAACTTATGAAACAGCTAAAATCAACAATAATGACTGATATGAAACATACAAGTGACTATCTTGGATTAATTATTTTTCAAAATCGCATTTATTCAGCATTGCGTACAAACCATTTTATTCGATATATTCCTATTTCTGATACATACTTTCACTTTCCAAATGAATACAACAGTTTGGGTGCTAAGTGCTCTTGTGACACAAACGGTGCTTGTATGAGCCAAGCTGAATTATACAATTTCCAAGGATACTCAATAAGCAATTCCTCAACTGCAGATAAATATGTGTTTGCTTTCTATATAAGCCGAATACTCACTATTCCCGGTATGATGGTTGGTTGTTCACCATATAGTTCATTACTTCAATCATCACTTGCATGTTTCTATAGTCAATCATGTATTCAGCGAATTCAAATATTTATCCATGGTTTCTCATTAGTTTCACCACTTTCATCATCTCATTTTCAGCTAGATGCAACAGTTGAACATCTCTTGAATGAATTATTTATTGAATCATGGAATGAAAAAAGAAATTTTAGTGCTTATTTTGACATATGTTCTCCACTTTCATGTACTCATACATATGATCGACGATTCAATCTTCTTCATATAATTGTGACCATTATTAGTCTTTTTGGTGGTGTACAGATGACTGTATTTCTGATTGCTCCATTTATCGTTAAGATTATACGACGATGTCAAAAGTGTAAACGTCAGTGTAATAAAAGTGATAATCTATCAACTGAAACTGAACTCGAAATAAATTCCAGTCAAAGTAAATTTCTTCTTTTGTATGATTATCTTTTTTAATTAAAAGATTTGTTTTATAGGTTTGAAAGATCGTTTCGTGTCTTTTGTGAATAAAATGAAGAAGAAACTACTTACATTAAATATGTTTCCATACTTATCTGACATTACTGACGGGATTTATTCTACACGTGTCTATCTGCTATCATTTGTTGTTGGAATAACTATTTTAGTATTTTATGCATCAATCTCTGTTCAAATACGAAGTATCACTGTATATCAACCATCATTAAATAAATATGAACAATTGTATAAACAATATTCACGAACACTTGTGTGTCCATGTACTCGTCTTTCTGTCTCATATTCATCAATCATAGCTATAGTGCCTCATTATCATCAAGTGTGCTCAAGTGATTTCATCAAAGATGATGTCTGGTTGCTCTATTTTACAGGACATTTTCCTTTTCTTAATAATTTTGATTTCCGTTTTATGGGTATGGGATGGTTTTCCTTACTTCAAACATTATGTCGAATGTCAAATGAGACTGTGACAAATGAACTATTTGTCTTTAATGATATGCAATTTATTAGTAGTCAAGTAGTGCCAAATGATTTATTCGACATACAAGCTTCTGCACTGATTCATCAATTTCAACAGCAGGTATATGACATACAGCGGATAGTATTTATTTTGTTGAGTATGATAAGTTAATCCAGTCTTTTTTAAACATGTGATTTAAAATCTGGTACATTTACTCGATCAGATCTATATCGATATGTTTGAGTATGATTACTTCTTAGATAAGAGAGTTTGATTTGAGTTTCGGTTCTGCATACTAACAAAGATTTTGAATATTCTCGTTGATTTTTTATCAAAAAAACAAGGGTAAGAACAAAAATAAATGAAAACTAAAAGCCCTACTAGATATAAATGCGTGACAGAATCAAATAGTTTCATGTGCACCTTTAGATCTTTTTTTAAAAAGTATAAAACAAAGTAGAAATAAAATCAATATCACAATTGATCTATTCTGTAGAGTTCTTATGTAACAATCATTTATTCTTTCTTCCATTTTCTATTGTTATTTGTGATTCTATCTACACTGTTACAATACAAGAAGAAGATAAATAGTCTGTAAACTAACATTTTTCGTACACTTCGGGATCAACTAAGAATTGTGTGATCAATGATTATCATCACTATAAATAACTTTGAAATGAATTTGATGTTATAAAAATGAATACTAGCTTTCTTTCTCAAGCATGATCTGAGACGGGTTTTAAAAAAACTCAATTTTGATGTTTATTTGTGTCGTCTCTTAATGTATTTTGATTATTTAAGACTGTCGATTCTTTTCTTGGCCTATTTGAACTTGTTCGCGCTTTGATTCAACTGAACCAATTTGCTGTTGTGCGCAACACGAATGCTCGAATATATCATTCGAATACTGCTAATAATAAAACGCATTATTTCCAATCAACAACAAGTTATGACAACGACTGCTCATGTGGCAAAAGTACCTCTTGTACACGTCCTCAAGGATTTTATTGTATGGAAATAAATTGTAAAACATACTTAAGTAAACCAAATGAAACGATTTCTGGTATGGTGCTAAGTTGCCTACCTGTTGATTCACTTCTTTCGTCGTCACTTCAATGTTTCTACAATGCATCATGTCTAAAAATGATAATTAGAGAGCGTTCATTTCGAATTAACGTTTCAAAGATAGATCCACGTGCTGCCAATATTACTCCACTCAATCCTAAATCTGATCGTCGCTCTTCACCTAACACTACATTGGATAACATTGTTTCCCAGTTATTTATTGAAGATTGGACAAACACAACTAATTTTAGTTCATATTATCATCAATGTGCACCAGATCAATGTACTTATACTTATGAACAACGTTTCAATCGAGTTTATATTATTGGAACTGTATTTGAGATAGTTGGTGGTCTATCTGTTGCACTTAACTTATTCATTCCTCTTCTTGTAATATTACTCCGGCGAATATATCATATTTGTCGCAGACGACGTTTGGTTGAAGTTCCAACTGAAGTCACTGTAGAAACAAGTAAGAATCAACATCATATTCAATATACAGAGGACTGACAATAAATCAGACAATATTTGATCTGTCATGCATATTTGATGATGAATATTTAACACTGAATAATATCTTTGAGATTATTTAGTTAGATGATTTGTATATTAATTCATCAATAACAAAACAACATTTTTGTCTTGTTTGTTCTTAGGTATTGGTCGGAAGCTGTCATTACGAGTTGCTCGTATTCAACATTCTCTTCGAAAAATGAACTTCTATAAAAAAATATCAAAGAACTGTCCTTCAGAACAACTACAAACAGCAGATCAAATCTTAGTTATACAACGTCAACAAATAGCAACTCGGTTCTACATTATCTTCTTTCTCATAGCACTAGTTGTGATTATACTATTTAGTGCTATTAATTCACAACGACATTCTATTACGATACCAACACCGACACTATTCATCTTTGAATCTCTTCAAGATCAATACTCATCATCACTTTCATGTCCGTGTTCACAAATTACAATACAATATGCAAATTTTGTTACAGTTGAGTCAACAAATTATCATCAAGTGTGTTTTAGTAATTTTACTAAACCACAATTTATCAGTTTACTTTGGGGTTCAGATGAAAAAAGTGCATTTCACTTGGATCTTGATAGAAAAATCCTAAGTACAGAATTTCGGCTGTTATCAAAATTGTGTTCTCTTGCAATGAATACCACTGAGCAACAGATTAAAATGTTTTCTTCTCGAGAACTGATAAGCGTGGAAGCATTAACACATCACTCATTTCAAACTCAAATCAATTCGATTATCAATAGTTTTATTTATGAAACACCAGCCAGGTTTCGAAGAATACATAAATATATCATAGAGATGCTTCGTGTCAATCAACTACAAAGTATGTTCTTAACAAATTGGAATCTTCGTTCATCAACTGCCGAAGATGCATATTTGATCTTATCAAGTCCAGTACTATACAATGAAAGTGGTCAGTCTTGTTCTTGTGATATTATGTCAACATGCACGAGATCCTTATTGACGAATTTGAATAAAACAGAAAATTTCTCAGGTAAAATGTCATTTTAAATCAATAAATAAATTGAAGAATATCTTAAGGGTGTGGATGTGTGTGTGCTACTAAGAGTTGTATTTTATTTTCATACCCATACCATTTTAAAAATATATTGATCTTCATTGTTTTTCGCATAACCTGTTCTTTTCATCGGTCGAAAGAAGAGACAAGAGAATATCTTTTTCTTCAAAATTATGTAAGACGAAATCAACTTAAGATCAAACATTTTTGCAAGACACTGTAAAAAATGTATAAAAATAGTTTGTCATTCAAGTGAAATTTTCAGAACAGGTAAAACATTTGCTTTTAAAATAAAAGAAACTTACTGTTTTCCTACCAGGAAATGTACGATTTTATTTGCTCAGTCATAGAACGTGGTAATTTAATTATTTGTAGTTCCTCTATTTAGATCACTTATCAGAAGTAACACTTTCTCTGAATGACAGATCACTTTTATACATTTTTTATGATGTTTTCGCAGAAATGGCTGATTTTAAAATGATGTTCCTTATCTCTTCTTTCGAGTGGTGGAAATCGTTGATCTCTGGCTGATTGGATTCTTCAACTATGGAGAAAGCAACGGACGACACTATATTTTGAAATGAATATTAATAGTTTCTATTCATCATATGATATTTTTAATTGGAACTTTTGAATATAAGTAGAAAGAATATATAAAATGGATGCTGTAACCTATAAACTTAACTGTAGTAGTTCATAAAATACTCGTGATAGATGATTTATCCGACTTCATATTCATAGATATTGACTATAAATTCTTGATTAGAAAGTGAATCTGACATATATATCATGATGGATATTTTCTGTTGTATAAAAAGAATCTCGAATGTATGAAGTTATAGTATCATACTATTCTAGTGAATAATATGAACTAAAAATTTGTCTCTTTCTTTGAATAGGTCTTGTTATTGGTTGTTTACCAGTTTATGGTCTTCGTCTATCAACACTTGAATGTTTTTACAATTCAACATGCTTACAAAGATTAGCTACTTTTCTTAACAGTTCATATGTTCTATCACCTCTGAATATTTCATTATATTCTCGTTTCATACCAATATCATCAACAACAGTTGGAACATTGATTGATGAACTATTTATTGAAACATGGTATAATACAAGTAATTACTCGAGTTATTTTTCAAGTTGTGCACCATTAACATGTCACTATAGCTATGAGAAAAGAAATAGTATATTATATATGATAACAACATATGTGGGATTATTTGGTGGATTAACTGTTGGATTGAAATATGCTGTTTGGTATGGTTTATGTTTGTATTGGAAAGTACATCAGTTGTGTACTAATGTTGGAGTTCGAGTTGAACCTGTGAATAATACTAATTGAGAACTTTGTGATATGAAATGCTTTATTGTTTTCTAATTGTTAATGTTGTATATTGCTTTTGATTGTTTTAATATTATTTATGATTATAAAGAATAATTCTATTCATATTAACGATAAACTATCTATTGAATTTCTCTTCAGAGAAAATCGAGTGATAACTAGTAGAATTTCAATGGTTAATGTGCTACTTCTGAATGACATGCAGCGAACATAATAAATATGACAGGAAAGATAATATTCAGTTAAATGCTTTAATCGTCAAGGAGAACATAACAAGGGTGTGGATGTGGGTGTGTATATGGGTGAGAGTATGAATAAGATGTACTCACACCCTCAAGATGGATTTTTCTCGCTTGTTCAACATTATTTGCGTCACATGCTTTATAAAGATCTGAGATTTCTAATTGTTGAACGTCCAGTACTACAGGAAGAGTGGCTCCAGCATAACAACCATTTCCAATTCTTATGTAAATAAAATATGTTTGTATTCTGTGTCCGTTATTTATATCGAGCAAGATTGTTTTCACAAGTATTGTGCACAGAGAAAGTGTTACTAAGTAACTAATGAAACAGAAAATAATATTCTATGATTTTTCTTCTTTGCTTCTGTCTTTTCATCTTAAAAAATAGTTTAATACTATTCCAAGAAAAATGAATCTTTTTTCCATTTCAAGTTGTTTTTGTCTATGATACTTAAATGAAAAATCATGGCTTTTCAAACCTTTGTCTCTACAGATCTTCTGATATAAGAGATGTTAGTGATATAGAAGAGAATATTGATGCAGAAGACATGAGCTTCTTCCCCTCTCCACACGTGAAGTAAGAGCTGCAGGAGATATAGTAGGTATACAAGACATATGAGATACATTATTTTTCGTCTTTGCTCGGGAATTATTGACAAAATTTCAGTAATCATCAAGAAAGCCTTTTCATTTTATTTCAATAATGTTTTATTTCACGGCTTCACTTGTCTCTGAATTTAAGTATTATTAAAAAGAATAGATCATATATGCAAACACTTTCTATATCTCCTATACTAGTCTTCTCTTCTATATCTCTAGTTTCTCTTATATAGGTTCCAGTTGACCTCTAAGGATTTCATTGGATTTTCGAGAAACTCCAAAAACACATTTTTCCCCGTATTAATGAAACTTTTACTTTCTTTATAAATATCTCAATAACCAAGTGCTTTCAACTATCATTCAATGGCGAATATCATATATACGTGATGTGTGTGGCAGTACTCACCAAGCGATTGATTATTCAGATAGATATTACGCAGAATATGTATGGCGTTTTAAACAACCAACTGCTGTTTATTTCCAACTATATAGATGAGATTATGCGCAGTTTACTTTTTTTCTTCTTTACACGAATTTGCTACGTCGAAATAACGCTAGTTTGGTTGAAAGCATAAAAAATAGTAATCTTTTTTGCAGAGTATTACTAAGGAAGAAAAAGAATAAGTTGATATTCGGATGATACTTCTTTGGCACTATAAAAACGCTACGGAAGCCGGCTTCTTATCTTTTAACTCATTTCTCTCTCTCTAATTAAAAACAGCATGTACTGCATGTAGCGATCAACACTGTTAGAAACTTTTATATATTAAATGTTGAAGTGAGTGAGGCACATAAAATAGTCTTTCACCATATTCTTCATGAATGAAAATACTCAATTTTTTTCTTTTGGAAATAGAAAAAGATAAGTTACTTGGTATTCTACCAACAGTTTACAGAAAAAGAAGATTTTATTAAAAAAGAGACCGAAAAATAGGACTTTTAAGGAGAAGAGGGAAAAGAGACGGAGTGGAATACCAGTAAGTTTCTACCAGTTAAATAATGCAAAAAGACCATCTTCTTTGCTTAGTATAACTTATTTTCTATTTTTTAACATCGAAAAATATTTCACAATATATTCATATACAATGTAGAGACATAGTCTATTCAGTCTCTTACAAAGAGATAATTTAAAAATATATCATCAGAATACATTAATTCTATTGATATGTTAATGTTAATCTTGTAAAAAAGACGCAAGAGAACCATTTGTTTTTATTTAATGACGCTTTTCTCTTTTTCAAACATCTTCTTTATCTGCAAATGTTGATTTTTCACGCCAGATATATTGAAAGAATAAATATGGCGCTGTACCAAACAAGAATAATACTAATAGCGTATAGAAATGAACTGTATTTCATAAATACATGTATCAAATTGACTTCATAGAAATAACATTCAAGGAGCTCAAAAAAGAATATTTCATTCTAATATTGTGCTTTAATATTGTGAGCAGTCTACAATTTGTAAGGATTGTTAATCTACTGTTTTAATGTTAACTTTACAACATTCATGTATTTTTCAAGGCACGATCTCTGTAAGAAAATTTGATCGAAACTTCGAAATATTCTGTGTAACTTTAATAAACATCATCAAAACTCGACAGCTCTATCAACTTTCAATCAGAATCCACGTCGTTTTCATGTGCTTACTAATGTACTATGTTGTATCTATAGGTAAAAAAATGGTTGATAGCAAAGGAAATCATCTGAAAAGGTTGACTGATTAAGCTGAATAATACATAAGATTATTTATTTATTTATTTTATATAGTTTTATAAATCATTTATTCGTTCTTAATAACAAAAGAAGCTTTAACAAAAAACTATTGCCCATTAATATTGTTTGTGTGAGCAAAATCAGTTTCAATCATGTTCCACAGCGAATTTTTGTACACGATGGTTCATCGTATCAACAACATAAAGATTACCTTGTCGATCAAACGATAAATCTTGAGGAATAAAAAGTTGTCGGGTTCCTTTTCCACACCCCTGTCCGCCAGCAATAGTACCATTGAATATTGCGCCTGGTAACCAGCGTGTTATTTGACATGTCAATGCATGTGATACGTAGATGTTACCCATACAATCAACAACTACTCCTACAAGACGAGGTGGACTATTGGGGTTCATCTCGTTTATAAGTTCGTGAGCAACAATAGTTCCGTTTTTTGCATCTTTCTTCCATTCCATCGCTTCACCATTCACCATATCCGCTACATAAACTGAATAATATTCATCGACGAAAATATAAGCATGATTGAATACCCAATTCGTCGGACCTGCATTTCGACTTTTCCCTGCTACTTTTGTTCCACTCGTGTCTCCTTCTTTCCAGCGACTGACTTCATCTTCCATTATGTCAGAAACATAAAGATCGCCATTATTATCTATTGTCAAACTCCAACAACGAATCGGAGGAATTATCATTTGTTGTGATGTTGTATCACCTTGACGAAACCATTTCACTACTCGATAGTTTCCAGAATCACAAATAACAAGAGAACTATCCTTTTTATTCAAAATGGCATCTGATGGATTTTTCAACTGATCTATCCGACTTCCAATTCCATTTCCACCAGCAACAACTGTACCACTGTTGTCGTTGAATCCCCATCTGACAATACGATGGTTGTTATAGTCACTAATATATAAATTTTCATTATCATCATCAACATAGACACTGACGGGCTGATCGAGTTGATTTGTTCCATTTCCTTGGCCATGTCCACCAGCGACAGTCGACGCATCTTGTTTCCATGTAGTGTTGGAATTGACGATACAAGAAGGAGGTAATTGTTCTATAAAATAATAACAGAAAAGATTTGCATTTATTTTGTTTTCTGCTGGTCCAAATGAATAAAAATGCAGATGTGGTGAAAGAGAAGTTTGATTTTGCTAAGAGTGAATAAATCAATTAGATGAAAAAAATCAAATAGTTTTCGCTTATTTCGATGGTTAACTTTTGGATTCACTCGACATCAATCACATTTAATTCTATATAATAAGAGATTTCTCTTCTCTGGTTACAACGTCAAATAGTTATTTACTCATTCTATTTTGAAAGGTACGCATCGATCCCAATCTTAGTGAACTTAAACTTAATATTCTTTTCAATGAATACGAATAAACATTCATATTAGATTCAATCCGATGGAACAATTGCATATATAATTTCAGTAGTGACGAACAATACACATTACTACTGAGACAAAACGAAGAATGTTTTTCGAAAGTTGATCGATAATCGCATTCTTTGTTTTCTTTTTATTTCAATAATTAGCTCTTACGAAATATTCTTCTGTGTGCCGAAAATTTCATTACAGATTTTAAAAAAACTTTTGATTTTGTGGCTTTAAAATATAATGTGTAAGTTCTTATGATAAATAATGAAGTTCTACTTCTGTCAGTTGAAATAGTTCATCTTATATTAATCTCAAAATACATAATTGTCTCATTTTGACTACCTGTTATTGTTTCCATTTTTTTTGTTGTTTCTTCCGTTGTTAATGTTTTTTCACTGTTGGTCTTTTTTGTTTTGAGCACAACAACTGAAATCGTTGTAATTAAAGCAACAATAATAATAATAATCAATACGATCCACGTGAATTTTCTTTTTCGAAAACGTTCACATCTAGAATAATTGACCTCTTCTATCATTATCTACAATTTATAATATACATACAATGTTATTGGTTGCGTTGCATTAGTATTGACTGCTGCGGACTAAAATAATCAAAAAAAGACAAAGATTATATTTTGTGGTTTTTATTTTTCTAAATAAATTACATCATAAACATCGATTCTGTTGTTGCTGTTCATTGTTGATATCTTGTTGAAAGTGTAATACTCTTACAATCTTAAATATATTTTAAAAAATTTTGTCATTTATATATTTTCGAACATTAATAATGCAATTACGAAAACTGTTAACTGTTAATTGCAATCTATATTTCGAGTAATATTTAACATTCCTTACCGACTAATCTGATGATATAAAAAACAAGAATGCAGAAACAAATTTAGATATTGTTTTCTCACTTAGGAGTTTTTCAGTCTAACTGGAACTAGCAAAATTGTTAAAATAATAGAAAAAATATATATCATGCTCTCTCTCTCTCTGTCTTTCTTGAATAATCAATTCTTCTGTGACGTATATCATT